TAAAATAACAAGTATAGTTCTATCTTTCTCTTCTGTATATGAATAAATAACAGAAACAATGTGTTCTTGAATTATTACAGTTTAATTTTTATACAGACAACAGCTTGTTTACAACTGTCAGGTAATTAATTGTGTATTTACAAGAAAAAGAGATATCTGTAGTGAAATAGATGTTTTGATCCTGCAATTTTAAGATAAGTAATATCGAGCTCCAGAAGTTTAGTGGTTTTCTATAGTCGTCTGTGCTCATGCTCGTACTTGAATTTACTTCATTATAACAATCTTTCAGTAGTGGTTTTGATTGAGTCAGCATGCTGCTCCATCTATAGTTGTGTTGATTATTAAATGAGCTCACAAGGACCCCTCGCAACCTTAAAACTTGTATTTATGGCAAGTTCTTGGCCCTATATCAGAGTGTTTTATCATGTGTGAGTCTATCCAAGGTTGTGTGGACCCTTATATCACAGAAAGCTATCACACCTGTCAGCAAACCTTCTCCAGGTTTTTTGTCCTGTGATCCATCTGTTCTGCCTCAACCAATTTCTGGTTCTTACTCGATTTCCCATGGAGTTCTTTGTCACACACAAGGGGCTTGTTTCTCCATATTCATATTTCTCATTAGGCCAGATGCTATCTTCAATTTGTTCACTAAGGCAGGAGTTCCCAAGTTTTGCCAATTGGTGGACTACCATCAACTTCTTTACTGTATTGGTGGACCACCTCCCATTAAAAATTGTTTTTATCATGTGTAACTGGTGTATCATATGTGTATTTTACTACCTTTACAGTTCGATTATAGTTTTAAGAAAAGAAAAATGAAAAGAGATTTAAATATGGAAAATATAAAAAAAATCTTACGACTTACTTTAATGTGAAGGAAGGATGATATTGCTTTTCTGAAACAATCTTGCGAATTTTTGGGTCAATGTCTGACAGTTTCAAACAAAGATCTAGCTACACATTTATCTTATTTCTATACTTAGATTTTATATAAGCAAGTTGAGAGAAACCTTGCTCACATAAATAGGTTGTAGGAAATGGCAATTAATATTTTACTGCTTTGAATTAATTGTCACACTAACGTATACATGTAGTAATGTGTCAATCCAACTGGCAATCAACTGTCATGTTTTTATGTGATCAGCAATTTAGGTTAATTACAATTATTAATTTGGGATTTATATATATATTGCTATATTAGTTTTATAATGGTAATTTTATAAATTTGATGTATTACTGCTGCAGACCCCCTTAAGTACTATTGCGGATCCCCAGGTGGCCATGGACCACAGTTTGGGAACCTCTGCACTAAGGGGTTGTGTATGAGTTTTTTGCCTGGTCTTTTGAGCTTGCTTTGGCATCATATGTATTTTATTGGGTGGTCATGGCTTTTGCCCAACTTCTGCATGTCTTTACACCATTACTTGGATGACATTAATTCATTCCAAACTGGAGTCTTCTCAACACACACACACATATCTGCAGCTGATAGTAGCAGCTTGTGCTGGTTGGATTCTAAAGTTTGGGAAGTTTTCTTTTGCCTGCACACTATCTTATCCACTTGGGTGTATTTTTTAACACACATCTCATTTTGGCCTATCCTTCTCCACTTCATTAATGTTTTCCATTCTCCATGAATTTACTACTGGCTTGGTTTCAGCCAAAAGATTCTGTTGCTTTTGAGGACTTGGGCTTCTATGGAAGCCATTTTTCTTTTGGGTCGGATATATATGCATTCTCTTCAGAGGTCTGTGCACAGCTCATGAAATCTTGCTTGGGATCCCTTGGACTCCCCAGTTACCCTTCCTCCTTCTCTTACAGACTATCTGCATTAGTGGCTTAACAAGAACAGTACAACGAAGGAAGTACTGCTTCCTACACCTTGTATGAATTTGCATTGAATCACAGCTGCTTTCTCTCCTAAGTTGGGGAGTGTTGGTCCATCAGCAAGAGGCTTCTGGGTAATGGTCTCAGATTGTTATGTCTTACCATTTGAACATCTTGGAGCTTATGGTGGTACGATATGCTTTGTTTTGTTTTCTTCCACTGGCACAGTACCAACAAGTTATGCTCAATACCAACAATTCCACCATTGTGGCTTATTTCAATCACTATAGGGGCATCTGTTCCTATTTCCTTTGTGGTTGAATGTTGGACCTCCTTTATTGGGCACATATGCTATGGATAAATTTCCTTGTGTGCCATGTTCCTGGTGCTTTTCATCTAGTGGCAGATCATTTTTCAAGATCCGACAAAGTTTATTTCATGGAGTGGTTTCTCAACCCTTAGTTTTTCAGGTGGCTGTACAATCAGTGGGGTACTCCTCTTCTGAATGCTTTTTCCACTTTACTCCAACACCAAAGTACCTCTTTTTTTTTGGTCTATGGTTCATCATCCTCAGACCCTGGAAGTGGATTTTTCAAGTCAGAACTGTCCCAGCTGATTTCATTTACATTCCTTCCAGTTTCATTGACCTCCTCATCATGTGGTTCCACCAGATTTATTTTTCCTACTCAAAACTACAGTGGCTTGTGAGAGTCATTCTTCCTTTTTGCTGTTTCCTCTTTTGTCCATTTACCACCTTTATTCCCAGTCTTCTCTAGATAGATTTCTATGTCCATTATGTGCTTTTTGTTGTTTCACTGCCTGTATGGCCTCCTTTAGTGGTTCCCATTTCCACCTTTTCATTCAATGGCACCATTCATCTGTACGTGATCTTTCTTCTTCTTCTACCCTTATGACTTGGGATTGTCAACTACTTCATTTTGTCTATTCCTCCCTGTCTTTTTCTTCCCAACTTCTGTTCCAAGTGTCTTTGCTTAAGATGAAGCACCTTCCCTTTTTCCTGGAGTCTCACCTCAGTCATCCATTGGAGGAAACTCTTCAGTCAGACATGTGGTCTACCCTTCATACATTCATCTCCCTCTATCTTCATTGGATAGCTGTTTCTTCCTTGTCGGAGTATCGCCTGTTGCCATCCTTCAAACTTCAGTGTGGCTGTGATTGGGTAAGTTATTTTTTCGATATATATATTTCTCTCCAGGGGTATGTTCCATTTAGGATTTGGATCCTGCTCAGTGGTGAGTGTTATCTGTCCAGGTATGCTTTCTATATCTCAAATACGCACTGTATGGCCAAGATGAAATAATAAAAACAATATACACATGGCCAATAATGCACACTGTGCTCCAAATTCTGTGCAGTCCTATCCGGAAGATGAATTTACTAGGGGTGAAGGTTCTCCCTCTTGCACTCCACATCGGAAGTGTTTCCCCTGCCTGAGGCTGCTGTTGTACTGAGGAGTTCCAGTTGGATTGGATTTGGTTTGATGTGAATTATCACATTGGCACATCTCTTTGTGCCATCATTTAGATGTCAGGTTCCTGGATGTATAGGTGGTTGTAGATTTGTACACGTGTGCCCATTTAGTAGGTCAGTTTGACATATATATAATTCTATTCTACTCAACTTGAGGAGAAGATGGTGTGGACCCTTCTCCTACCACAGGTTGGAAGTAGTAATCCTGATGCTGCTTGGTTTTGGACTGGAGTTGACTGGCCACGTATTGTCCATCATGCCCTAGACACTCTACACCTTGGAGCACATCTATTTTAGTTTTCCTGACATTCCAGTCTGTAGATGGTTCGTCTACAGTCTTTCTTCATTGGGATTGAGATTTCAGTACATTTTTGGTTGTGCTTCTCCCACTTTCTGCCCGAGTATGCAACACCTATTTCTGCACTGCGTGCAGAGTATACCTGGTACAGAAGTGGTGTGGTTTACCATGTGTGTTCCTCTCACAGTGTGGATCACACTTCATGGATGTTCTTCAGACACTTTTGGAGGATACTTAATTTTATCCCTCGCACCAGTCCCTCTGCCTATTCCACGCGGAATTCTAGCTATACGTGTGAGGGAAAGTAATATGTGTTTACCATGTGTGTTCCTCTCACAGTGTGGATCACACTTCATGGATGTTCTTCAGACACTTTTAGAGGATACTTAATTTTATCCCTCGCACCAGCCCCTCTGCCTATTCCATGTGGGATTCTAGCTATACGTGTGAGGGAAGGTAATGTACCTTATCGGAAGCTATTTTCCTATACTGAAAACATATTTTTGTTAGGTACTTATTTCCTCTCTCACTTTCCACCCTTCTTCCCCACTGACAATCATTGCTTTTCTTTTCTGCCTAATCTCGAAGTGATAGTTTGGCAGAATCGAATAGAGGGAGTTGTACGTATTAGAAGGGTGTGTTGCACTCCTATTGGTGGAGGGTTATTACATGATGATTTACATGTGAGACACAGTTGAACTACATTGGTCATGGGGTACATGGGAGTTCAAGACTTGTGGCATGTAAAACAAATTTTTGCATATAGAGGGCAGCACTGGACGAGAAGATAAGTACTTATCGAAATATATTTTCAGTATAGGAGAATAATAACTTTCAAGTGTCAAGCTCTCCAATTACCACAGTTGTATGTGACACAACTGAAAAGCATACAGTAATGAAGAAAAATATTATAGAAACTGCCTCAAGATGGGCTGAAGAGCCAAGCATGCAATTATGCACTGTTTTTTTAAATTGAAGTGTGGACGTGTCCATGAGTCTGATAGCAAGCATGCACTTAGAGGGTGCAACCAAGTATAATGACATCAAAGTAAGGAAAAAATAAAACTAAAATTATATTTCAACAACAAAACTTGAACAGAATGGTAAGGATATAAAAGAATAAAATGTTATTAAGCATTCAGGCTGATATCATTATAATACAGTTATAAACATCTGATATAATTTAAAACTTCTGATGGAAGTTTGTTAGGAAAGTAAACAGTTATACGCATCAATAGTTTAATATCTGATGTTCAATATTTATTGAATTAATTTTTTAGTTTTTTCATTAAATTTTGTTTTCAGAAGCAATTTTTATTGCTTTAATAACCTTAGGTGGAATATATGTAAATATTTTTTTTCCCCATTTTTCTTACAGGTATGGCATTTTGGTGGATCCTCTCCAGTGGTTTAAAGTTTTTATGGGAAAACCATATATTTGGCCATCTGTTTTTATTGTTTTGAGTAAGTAATCAGTACTTATATTTACATGAATCTGAAAATTGAGTTTGTGTGCATATCAGTAGCTTCATGTTGGTTAACCCTATGACTATGAGCTGGGTGGAGTCCACCCATCTCGTTACCACTAATGTATCCGTGAGAGTAATCATACTATAACTTTTGATAATGTATGTGTATCTTCACAAAATTTCAGGTTTTTAAATTAAGTGTTAAGATTTTTTTATTAAAGATTTGCTTGTGAATTGTTTTCTTTCAGAATGTTGACTATCCAATGATTTTAAGATTAAAAATACTTTTCCTTATATGAAAATTGTAAAATGTTTCATTTGTGTAATCTCTATATCCTCCTAGATGATCATCAAACAGTTTTTTTGGATAAAATGTCATATTCTATCTGTTATCAACCTTAACTCTATATGGTGTTGGTTGAATTGACCAACCTTGTAACCATCATAAAAATTAGGAAATAAATCTAAATTACCCATTATTTGTTCTAGAATAACTGCAAATTGTAACAGGAAACCACAAATGTATTCTAAATAGCTTAAATCTCAAATAATTTATATCTATTTATATTTATTAGTTTTTTGTTTTATTAATCTATTAACAGTGTCTCATGGCCAGGTGGTTAGGGCGCTCGACTCGCAATCTGCGAGTCACGTGTTCGAATCCCCATCACACCAAACATGCTCGCCCTTTCAGCCGTGGAGCATTATAATGTGACAGTCAATCCCACTATTCGTTGGTTAAAGAGTAGCCCAAGAGTTGGTGGTGGGTGATGATGACTAGCTGTCTTCCCTCTAGTCTTACGCTCCTAAATTAGGGACAGCTAGCGCAGATAGCCCTCGTGTAGCTTTGCGTGAAATCTATAACAAGCAAACAAACAAACAGTTTCTGACTAAAAATTGCCCAAATATACCTCATGAAGATTTTTTTTTTCATTATCTTACCTAATAAATTTCTGTTTCTTACATTATAGTTACTTTTATAATAGCATATAGTGAAAATATATGACAAATATAAAAAAAACTCATAATTAAATATCAAATATTTTATATTTTATTTCTTATTTTCTCTACTATAATATTATACTTGATTCTCCAGGTTGTAGGTAAGTAATCAAAGTATAACAAAAATAAAGGTTGCAAATGCAAATAAAATGTATAATATTGTTAGTATTGATCACAAAGTTTCAAAGTACTTATGGTCAGAGTTTATACTTCTCATCTTTTCACACTTATTTTCTGTAGTATTTTTATTGTTAGGAGATGACTTAGAAACTAGAGGAAACAAAATGAATAGTACTGTTTGTCCTTTTCAGTACAGACAACGAAGTTCCAAGTAAATCTCTTAAGAGTTTCTTCTAATCTTTTTACACTTATTTCCTATGTTTATTTTACTGTTAGCAGCTGAAGTAGAAACCTGTCAAATACAAAGCAATGACTCACTGTTCCTGTTTAGGTGTTACCGTACTTTGAGTATTTTGACACTGTCAGTATCAAATAAAGTTTTGCAGAGCAAGTTCCAGAACTCTCCCTGCTTTGAAAACACAGTGGGGTAGGATTTATCAGCTTGTTGACAGTATAATGATTACAATGAGAATTGTCTAAAGTATTATAAAATGCTTATGCTATGGATCTGTAGAAATTTTGGGCCGATTCAATAAACTTGATAGGTATTTGAATGTTAGTTATCCTTTCGATGTGGTTGATTTTCTACAGGTTCTGTTTGAATCCCAGATATTTATGATATGGCTCTATACAAAGTTTTATCTGATCCAGTGAGCTTTGTTAGGTATTTAAATGTTAGTTATTCTTCTGGTTGTTGGAGATTTAGTGGTGGTATAGGTGTAAAGCTATGTAAATTCTTTTGCTTTTTCCCACATCCACATGTAGTTTGTTTTGTTTGTGTGTTTGAAATTAAGCACAAAGCTACACAATGGCCTAACTGTGCTCTGACCACCATATGTATCGAAACCCAGTTTCTAACATTGTAAGTCCACTATGCCACTGGGGGAGCATACGAAAAGAACTATGTAATATCGTAATAGTCTAGATTATTGTTTTCCAAATATTTTTTACTTACTGTTCTATGTAATAATAACTGAAATTTAAGTATTTAATTGTGAATAGTAATAATAATAATAATATGTAATGTATGCTAACCAAAATGTCACTGTATTTTGCAAAATACTGGAAACTATGCATTTATTGGTTAATGTGTAAGCATGGTAAAATAGTAAATAGGATGTTTAATTTTTGCAGACTTAATATATGCATTTTGAAATACCGAAAAATTATAAATGACTATACCAGTACCACAAAATCCATTGTAATTTACCAGGCTTCCTAACTATGGTTTATTTGGGTCTAAAATAATCCAATTTCTGTTCGGAAAATAACATTGATCATAATACTTCAAACTCTACAACGATATATGAGCTTTTCTCTCATAAATAACTTAGCAAGATTAACATAATTATGTAGAGCTTTCGATTGGTTATAAACTTGTAGGTATAGAAAAGTAGGTGTAGATAAGTATTCTCAAATGATGAAGTAGTGGGAGGAGCCAATATGGTGAGTTTGTAAATATCATGATATCTCGGCAAATAGAAGAGGTAGGAGGTTCTTATTTTATATTCTAGCTTGTCAATATCGAACATTTGAGTTTCTAATTCGTACAAAACTGTAAATGTTGTATTGTGGGCATCATAAAATATAATCTGATCAAACCCAGAGTATGATGTACAATGTGACACACAAAAATCAATATCTAGCTATTTTTCTTTTTATTTGCTTTCTAATTAAGAAATTAAGTAATGTATAACACTAAAATTTAAATTATAATCTACAATTTGATGCCAAACTTATTAACATACATTTATAAGATAATAGTTCAATTCTCTGACCCCTGACTATAGCAAAACCCGTTTCAGTAGGGTTAAACATTAAGGCACATACATGTATGGAATGCATCATGAATTTATACAGTGGTTACATTAATTCATTCAAAATAACCCGTTTCAGTAGGGTTAAACATTAAGGTACATACCTGTATGGAATGCATCATGAATTTATACAGTGGTTACATTACTTCATTCAAAATAACCCGTTTCAGTAGGGTTAAACATTAAGGTACATACATGTATGGAATGCATCATGAATTTATACAGTGGTTACATTACTTCATTCAAAATAACCTGTTTCAGTAGGGTTAAACATTAAGGCACATACATGTATGGAATGCATGATGAATATATACAGTGGTTACATTACTTCATTCAAAATAACCCGTTTCAGTAGGGTTAAACATTAGGGCACATACATGTATGGAATGCATTATGAATATATACAGTGGTTACATTACTTCTTTCAAAATTCAGTTTAAAAATTTCTAGAGTATATTGTTTGTCTTTATGTTAGAAATACTTCACAATTTATTTATAAGATTTTGCTTGTCTATTTACTTTTTTAAGTAAAACATTAAAAATATTAGTGTTTTCATTTCTAGAGAGAATTGTGTGTTATTCCCTTTGTAATTTTACAAATTTTCCCATGTTTCCTAGATACTTTGGTGTGATTTTGTTCATTTTCCAAATACACATTTGTAATACCATTTTGAAACTGATGAACAAAAGACAAGTTAAAAGCATTACAGTAAAATGAAAAGACTGGACTGAGCTGTTTTGAAACATTAAATAAAATAAAGAAACTTGCTCTGTGATTCAGTGCTAGAGGAAATCAACCTGGGTGACCTTCGTTGTTGTTCTAAACATGCACGTAAAAAAAGAATAACTGGTAAAGCTTTGAAAACTTCACATTGGAAGAAATAAAACTGTCTGGTTAAACTTTGTTAAATCAACTCAACCCTTTGTAAATCTCAGCTACATGCATCGTGAGTGAATCTTGGAGTTAAATCAAGGGACACAACTCTGTTCCTTCTATTCAAGGAAACTTGTGTCACGTATAGCAAAGGGATTAAGGCAAGTTCAAGTTAATTATATCCTGGTCACAATGACACTAATTGAACATGAAAAAGACACAAAAATTTTGTACCTCAATATATCTTGGATAAGACTAATTCATAAACTAGTTTTGAAAGCATTTCCCTCTTCCTCATTTCTGGACTATCTGTTATATATCTGGCATTGATTTTAACTTTAAAATAAATCTTTTCAACTTCTAATTACTTCAACTAGTGTAAACCTATCTGCAGACTTGGATGACATGACTATTAGCACAAGCCACTTGGCTTTTAACTCTAGAAATGAACCCATTAATTTTAGCTGAAAATGCAATCCACAGGTAACAATGAAAGTATTCATTCTATAACTCTTAATGCACAGTGCCTTACAAATGTATTCATCCCCTGCAAAGTTTCCATCTGAGCTTACAATCATGAAACTTTCAAATGGAACTTTATAGTTAGAATCTACACAATCTGCTCCAAACTGAGAACGATGAAAAAATGCTGATATTATGTAAGTAAGATAGATTTTCAAAGAAATTTAGAATATTCTCAATTGTATAAGTCTTCAACTCCTTTGTTACGGCAACCCTAAATCAGTTCAGGTGCAAAAAAAGTAGTTTGAAAGGTTACAAAATTAGTGTAATGGTCTCTGTCTGTGTGTAATCAAAGTGGTTTAACTTGACTTCAGAGTAAATGCATCTGTTCAAGCTACAACTCACATAGTGATACAACAGATCAACCATGAACACCAAGGAGCTTTCCAAACAAGTCAAGGATAAAGTGATAGAGAAGAACAGATAAGGAGAAGGTTACAAGAAAATTTCAAAGCCCATCATTAAGAAGTAGAATGTGCTTCATACCACCCAGTAACTACCTTGATCAGGCTGCCCTTCAAAAC